TCTTTGCATTACGTCCACTGCGTCGCATGGCGAGGTTTCGCTGCGTCGCCGCTTCGTGGCCGCTTCGTAGCCGTCTCGTGGTTCACGTCACATAGCTTAGACCGCTCACCACATAGCCTGCACCACGCAGCTGTTGCCACGTAGGTTACACCGCATAGCTTTCACTACATAACTTACACCGCAGAGTTTTCACTTTCATAGGTCACGCCACATAGCTGATACGACGTAGCTTTCACCACGTAGCTTTCCCCTCAACAGTGTCGTCACGCGTCGTTGCCGCCTCGTTGCCGCCTCCTTACCGCCTCGTGCGCTGTGCGGCTCTCTCGAAGATGCGCCACGTTGCCGCCGGTTGCCGTCCCGTTGCCGCCACGTGGCTGCGACAAACAGGAGGGATGAGGAGGATTTGGTTGGGTTGTGGAGGATGTCTTTGCTTGCTCTCCAACCAGTCGATGATCTAACGCGCCATGGGAGCCCGACGGGGCCAGCGGTTTGTGGTGCAAGGGCACCCCAATGACAGAGCCAATGACGACCCGTGCACTTTTTTCCAGCGCGAAGAATGCCCAGCGGCGGAGGAGGGGACAAGCAGAGGGGAGGGAGGAGGGCGGGAGGGGGTGCGGCGGGCGCGCGGCCCGCTCCCGCGCCTGCGGCGGCGTTGCCAATTCAACTACTTTAGCCTGGCGCCTCGGGCGCGCCGGGGCGCGCAGAGAGCCGCGCCCGCAGCGCCGCCCGCCAGTCGACCTCGGCGCCACCCGCGCGGGCCGCGGGCAGCAGCAGCAGGCCCGCCGCGCGCGGCGGCAGCGTCTCCACCCAGCCGGCGCACTGCTGGCTCGCCAGTCCGCGCCATTGTTTGGCCCATCCGCTGCAGCGGAGGCAGGCGATCCATCCTGGCCCCTTGGACGCCGCGTGCGGCCGCCAGGCGTCGCCGGCGAACCGCGGTCGAACCGCGGCCGCTGGCGCGGCGGGGGCAGCCAGCGGGGCAGCAGCGGCCGCGCCACACGGGACCGCAGGCCTCGCGACGCGGTCCAGCGACGCCGGACGCGCGGCCCCGCAGCGCCGCGCGGCGCATGGTTGGCCTTGAGCGCCTCGAGCTCCACGAACGCTGCAGTTGTGTCAAGTTCTGGAGCGCGGCCACGGCCTCAGCGGTCTGCCTCCACAGCTCAGCGTGAAACCAGCCGTGCCGGAGGCATGTCGCAGCCTGCCGCAGCGGCCCGATTATCACCGCCGCCGCTGGGTCCAGCCTCCAGCTCGGGGCTAGGACGCCGAAAACGATTTCGGCGGCACCGCGCAGCCCCCCGCGGCAGACCGCCCAGCGCGCAGCCGTGCGAATGCCAGCAAGCTCTTTCGTCGGCGGCCAGCCGCAGGCAGCACCGTACAGCCCAGCCGCAGTGCCGGCCGCCGCGCCCAGCAGGCACCGCTGGCCAAACCCCGCAGGCAAGCGCCCGAGCCGCCCGGAACGGCCCTGCGCGCCGCGGAGCCGCACGGCCGAGACGGCAACGGCGACCGCAGCCGGCATTGGCGACGACTCCCAGGTTACGAAAGTCTGGGTTCGCCCGCATGCTGGGCGTCTGCGCCGCGAGCCATTTCCGCAGGGCCTGGCTGCCCGCGAAGTGCCGGCCGGCTCTTTCGGGGGCTTGAGCTGGCAGTCCATCTTTTGCTCGAAGGCCTCGCGACGCGGAGCGCCTGCTGCACCTCCTCGGCCGCGTCCGCACCGTGACCAGCCGCGACCCGCTCCTAGATAGTGGAGTCGTCGACGTACACGAGTCTGCGGAGTTGGTCGCTGATAGCGCCCGTGCGGCGCACCCACGGGTATGTGAGCACAGCCAGGATGAACACCGCCAGAGGGCAGCCCGGTAGCAACCCGCGCGTGGGCAGCCACGGGTCGCCGAGCGCCTGCCCAACCCGGACCCTGCGGCGCGCCGTGTAGGCCCTCAGCGCCCGCTTCCGGATCCACGCAGTAATGCCAGCGCGCAATGTCGGTGCCAATCTACGGCGCCGCATGTGCTTGGGTCGACCCGCCATGCCCCCCCTTTTGTTTAGGGCCCACGCTGGCAACACACATGTACATACATATTACATCGGTGCATTGTATGTACATGTGGGTAAGTCTGTATGTATGCCTGTATGTTTCCTTGGATTTGTATTAGCATATGTATACATACATCATACATACACATATCCATGTGCATGTGCTCATCTCTGTCTAGCTATTTGCGTGTTTATGTGTGCGGGTGTATGTATGTTTTTGGAGAGATATACAGAGAGAGGGGGAGAGAGGACGATATCAATGGGAGACACACAATTACATCTACACACATCCGTGGAGAGAAAAAGAGAGGATAACCAGAAGGGGTGCGTACATACATACATACACATACACATACATACATACATACAAGCATACATACATACATAATCACCTGCCCACATCCACACACACGTACACACAGACAGCTGTACATACATACATACATACATACATACAGGCATCCATACATACATGCACACACATGCACATGCACATACTCAAACACATACACACACACGTACACATGTGCATGCACACATACACACATAGACGTGTACACATACACATATTTTACATCGGAATATCCATATACTGCATCTGCGTGTTCATATATGCATACACGTACATATGCATTTACCTATACAAATACGTGTATATATACACATTACATACATATCCATACAATATACATTTACATTGACGTACACATACACATTTACATATACGCATACACATACATATACACATACGTATGCATATACACATGCATATAGTTAGACACATCTACATGCACATGCACCTGTATACATCTACATATGCATATACAGGTACACCTACATCTACATATACATATGCACATACTTATACTGAACACTATTCTTTATACATGTATACATGTATGTATACACGCATACTATATATATGTATATCTATGTGTGTGTACGTCGACATTCACATATGTATACACATTATATACATATGCATTAACGCATATACATACACATACACATACACACATACACATACACATGCACATGCACATACACATACACATATACATATACATATACATATACATATGCATATACATCTAAATGCACATATACATATACATATACGTATACATATACATACACATATACATAAATATGCATATACACATGCATTTTCATATTCATATACATATACATACACATAACCATATACTTGTACATATATACATATACATATACATGTACATATACGCACACAAACACATATGCATATGCATATACATACACATACACAAACACATATACACATGCACATACGTATACATACACATATACAAACACATATACATCTACATATACACATACATATACATATCCATATACCTGTTCATACAACTATACATATACACATACATATACACATACATATACACATACATATACATATACATATACATATACATATACATATACATATACATCTACATGTACACATACATATACATATACGTATATATATATGCAAACATTTAAGTATCTACATTTGCATACACATATACATATACATACACATATGCATATGCATATACACATACACATACACACATACATATACATATACACATACGTATACATATACACATACATACGTTTAAATATAAACATATACGTATACATGCACATATACTTATACATGTAAATGTACTCATACACATGCACAGACGTATACATATCCACGCACATACATCTGTATACATGTACACATCTGTACACACCTCCTCTCACTCTCATCTCCTCCCTCCACTGCAGTTCGTGGTGTTCTTCCTCCCGCCGACAGGGACGCTGGCATTTTTCATTTGCGCTGGCACCCGGAGGCACCTCTTGGCTCGCCTCCTTTCTTGCCTTGGCCGGGGCCCTCGGTTGGCTCCCCTCCCCCCCCTCTCCTCCCCCCCTCTATTGTCTTCCTTTCTTTCTTTCTTTCTCTCTCTCTCTCTCCTCTCCCTCCGTGGCTCCCCTCCCCGTCCCCCGTCCCTCCGTCTGTCGGCCCGGTCTGTCCTTTCCTGTCGTCTTCCCTCCCTCTCCCCCTCCGTCTCTCTTTCCTCGGCTCCTCGCTCTCTTGCTCGTTTTTGTGCCTTGCCTGGCCCGTTTTTCTGTGTCGGCCCGTCCCGCGGTCCGAATAAGAGCTGCGGTAGCCTAGCGTTTGCTGCAGTGTGAGGCGCACCCCTCGCACGCCATTGCCTGCGGCGCCGGCCTCCGTCATGGCAATGGGCGAGCCTCCACCTTGCTGCGCGTCTCGGGCATTCAGGGGCGCTCAAAGGCGGGCCGGGACGTGGCCCGAGAGGGCCCGCGCCGCTGCGTGATCCAGCGCGTCGCCTGCCGCGCGTGCTGCCATGAGCGGTGTCGCCCTCCCTCCTCCCCCCTCCGCGGCCGCCTGGCCCCTCCCTGCTTCTCGTCCCGTGCCGTGCACTCGTGTGCTGTGCAGGGGCCCTGCGCTGCTCGACCGACACCCGCGCGAGCGCCGCGCCCGCGGCGGGCCGGAGCGGTGTTGCCACGAGCGCGGGACGGCCTGGAGGGCCGCGGAGCGTGGTGCACAGTGGGCGGATGCCTCGGAGGTTTTGGAGTGGGAATTTTTGGGCCGCTGTCGGCCCCTGGAAGCCCTCGCTGGCTCCGGGAATGGATTACTGGATCTCTTTGTGCTACGGATAGCCCCGGCGGGGGGGGGGTTCTACACACCTACCGAGCGAGAGAGAGTGAGAGGGAGGGAGGGAGGGAGGGAGGGAAAGAGAGAGAGAGAGAGGGAAAGCCTGGACGTTGACGATGAGAGCAATCAACGTGGCTGGTGATAGCAGCAGCTGCTCAGCTTGCAAACGAACGGGTTGCTCATGCTGGCTCACCGCTGGCGCCCTGTGGCCCACCGCTGGGCCAACGGGGGCGAGGCGGAGCGAGCAACACGTCTGCCCCCCGGCCGTGCTGCCGCGCAGGTGGCATTGGCCGCGACGAGCGAGTTGCTGCGGGACCACGTGGTGGAGGCGCGCGCACTGGAGGAGCCACTCCTCCTCCTCGTCCGCCTCCTCCTCCTCGTCCTCTTGCTCCTCCTCATCCTCTTCCTGGTCCCCTCCTCCCCCTTCTCCTTCCCGTCTTCCTTCTCCTCCCCCTCTTCCTCGTCCCCTTCGTCCTCATCCCCCCCCTCTTCTTCCTCTTCCTCTCCCTCGTCCTCTTCCTTTTCCTATCCCTCTTTTTTCGTCCTCCCCCTCCAGCTTCTCCCCCTCTTCCTCTTCCCCTCTTCCTCGTCCTCTTCGTCCTCCTCCCCCCTCCTCCTGCAACACCAACAACGGCACACGTGTCGACGTCAACGACACCGAATCCAGCACCGACACCAGGACCGACAACAGCACCGAACAGCGACGACGACGACGACACCAGCATCAGCACCAGCACCGACCACAGCACCAGCACCAACACCGAACACAGCACCACCGACGGGGTCGGAAGACGAGGACGGGCGACCAGTCCACGGTCAATAACACTACCAGGACCAGCGCGGTGATCGACATCATCAACCACCTCGTCAGGAAGAAGGAACTGAACGTTCCGAGACGCCTCCAGACTCGCCGACCGAAGGGGTCGCGGCTGCTTTCGGCCGTAGCCTCAGCCCTGGTCTGCTGCTCCACCGCAGCTCCAGCTCCGAACCCCACGCTAGCGAGGCTGCCGCAGATGACCTACCCCACGACGTGCATGACCGCGCCCCTGCAGGACTGCATCGCCTGTGGCGAGACGACCTTCGAGGCCTGCAGCCGCCAGTGTTTCTGCTCGGACTGCGTCTTCGGCGCGCCCGCAACCCAGAGTCGCGGCCAGGGCGCCGTCGCCAGCGGCTGCCTCTGACCCGAGGCCAACGTCGTGGAGGAGGAGCAGCTGCGCGTGAGGACGCGCAAGAAGGGGGCGAAGCCGCAGCTGATCGCCGGCGAGCGCTCAGCATTTGCCACCAGCAAGAGCGGCATCCAGCCGCGCAAGATCGGCCAGGCCTTGATCACCAACCTGGCCAAGTCCACAACCAGATCCAGCCCGTCCTCCCCAGCGAACAGCACCGTGCTCTACGAGTGGTGCTGCAACCCGGACAGTATGCTCAGCGCCGTCTGGAAGAAGAAGGGAGGAGCTGCTGTCAGGTGCGGTCTTCCAGACTTCGACCTCTCCAGGCAGTTCGCGGTCCAGAAGCTGGAGGGCAGGATCCGGAAGCACCTTGCCGCAGGCCAGAGTGTGCGAGTTCACGCTGCGTTTCCTTGCCAGCCGTGGACATCGCTACAACGACTCGTCGTCAAGATCGACCCGAGCAAGATCCCCGAGTTAAAAAGGAATCGGGCCAATTCCAAGCAGATGATCGGCCTGTTCCTGCAGTCGATGTCACGGCTGCACAAGGAGTTCGGCGCCCAGCTCGCCGTCTCGTTCGAGTGGCCGAGGTGCTGCGACGGATGGGGCCCCAACAAGAACGCCATTGCCAAGCAGCTGAAGGAGCAGCTCCCGCGCGTTGTGGACTTCGACGGCTGCGCGTTCAACCTCAAGACGAAGAGTGGGATCCACGTCAAGAAGCCGTGGCGGATCATCACCGACCATTTCGGCTTCGACGACTCGCTCAGGCGCTTCTGCAGCGGGGGGCACCCTCGCGCAGAGGCCCGCCGGGAGGACGCGATGCGCAGCGAGACCTACGCGACCAAGCTCGCGACGGTGCTAGCCGAGCAGCTGCGACGTCCGAACCGCCGACCTGCACGAGAGGCTCACCCTGCATGGACGACGAGAAGGGCAATCAGAAGGACGGTTCCAGCCGCCGCAACCGCCCATGGGCCAGCGCTCACGGCCGCGGAGGAGCGGGCGCTACGGTCCGCCATCGTGCAGCTCCACGTGAACGCGGGGCATCGGTCCAACGATTCACTTGCCCGAGCCATTCGCGTGACCGGTGGATCGCAAAGTTCCATCGACATGGCTCTCAACCTCTATTGCGGGGCTTGCGCAGCACATCAGCGACCACTACCGCAACTGCCTGGGCGGATCAGACCGGACAAAGATTTCAACGACTCCATCGGAGTGGACCTGTTCACCCTGGCCGACTGCGCTGGCCACCGGCTGGTCTACCTAAACGTGGTGGACCTGGCCTCAGGTTTTACGATGTGCGGCACAGTCGCATCCAGGCACCCATCAGTTGTTTTCGCTCGACTGCTGCAGATTTGGATCACGCCTTTCGGCGCGCCTCAGCGAGTCATATTTGATGAGGAGGCGAGTTCTCCATGGAGCTTGAGGACATGGGTTGCAGCCTGATGGCGACATCTGCGGCGACGCCGCAGCAGAACGCTACCGTGGAGCGACGTGGAGGGACGTGGGAGGTGCACGCGAGGAAGCTGATTGACCAGTTCAGCATCAGGTTCGACCAGCCCGCGGCCGCTCACAGGATCCAGTGGATGATCGCCTCCGTGTGCTGGGCCATGAACAGCCAGGTCAACTCCACGGGCTATTCGCCGTCGCAGTGGGTGCTCGGGCGAGGCCTTCGCCTCCCGTGCGTCATCCTGGACAACGCCGGCAGGCTGTCCCTGCGCGAGCGCATCGTGTCCGACAAGCTGTTCTCGGAGAGGATCGCCATCGTGAAGGCCGCGCAGACCTCCATGCAGCACCTGAGGTTCAACCAGTCCCTCTCAAGGGCGCTGCTGGCCCGATCTCGGGCAGATGGAGCTCAGCGCGCCAGCGACGTCTACCAGGCGGGCGACCAGGTGTACTACTGGAGGGGCAGCGGCAAGCCCGAGAGAGATAGGCCTTGCAGTGGCACGGGCCCGCCGTCATCATCGGGTTCGATGGGCCAGCCACCGCTCCGCGACCGCGAAGGTCAATCGTGGGCGCCTACGCCGCGCCGCGGCCGCGGAACTCGTTCCGCGGGGACAAGTACTGAACGCGCTGGGCGGCAACCGGCCGCCTGGGCCTCCGCCAGGCGCCCCGCCAGGGACCTCCGGGCCCGCGCCTCCTCCAGGCCCCGGAGGAGGCGGCGGTGGCGCAAGAGGCGGACCCCCCCCCGATCCCAGCGAAGGAGGAGACCCTGCTGGACCTGCGCCGCCAGACGCTGACGACGACGTGTTCCTCGACCCGTCGGGGCCGACGCCGCAGAAGCGCCCCCGCAGTGACAGTCAGCCTCCCGCGCCACCAGCGCTACCAGCGCCCGATCAGCAGCCGGCCATTCAGCAGCGCAAGTTCGGCAACATCGAGCACTCCGAAGCGAATCAGCGTGCTCATAAGTACGCCGAGTGGCTGGCGCACCGCCAAGGAGACGGCGATTTCACAACCAGTGGAGGAGCAAGCGGCAGTGGAGGACCGGCCCCGCAGCCCTCGGGGGGAGACGCGCAGCAGCCTCCGCCGCTGCCGCCGCCAGCGGAGCCGCCGCCGCCAGCGGAGCCGCCGCCGCCGCCAGCGGCCGCCGACCCGCCGGCGCCAGACTCAGGCGATGCTGCCCCTCCTGCAGCCGCCCCCGCCGCTGCTGCCGCAGATTTTCGACCTCCTGAAGCCTGCCTCTCAGGGCCCTGTCGACGACGACATCGAGTCCGACGGATCGGACATGATTCGAGAATGGGCCAAGATTGCGGAGGGGCAGGCGCGCCAGGAGACGATGTCGCGGCGCCCGCCGGGCGCCGAGAACCAGCGCGGCATTGAGACGCAGCGCCAAGTTCGACAGGAGAACGCACCAGTGGCGCTGCAACGTGACCGCCAGCGCGAGCTCGACCCCCGCGAGCGCGCTGCCAAGCGCAAGGATCTCTCGGACGATCTGCCCGAGTGCTTCGAGACGCCGAAGGACGCGAACAAGGTCGACCTCTACCTAGACAACTACTTCCAGAAGCACGCGGACGAGCTCTACGCAAGTACACGACTCTGTGAGGCACTGCTCACGGGCAACGCGACCGCCAAGGAGCTCAAGGAGGACGCGCTGAGCGCCACCGAGAAGAATATCGTGGACGCCGCCATGAAGACCGAGTGGTCCAAATGGGCGGAGTTCGGCGCCTACAAGGAGCTCCCGCCCAAGGAGCTGAAGGAGCTCCTGCGGCGCGACCCTGGCGTCCGCCCTGTGGGCGCGCGCTGGGTGCTGACCGGCAAGGGCCAGAATGCCATGAAGACACGTCTGGTCGTGCAGGGTTGCCAAGGGGACAAGTCGCAGATCAGGGCGGGCGCGCCGACGGGGTCCAGGGGCGCGCTGTGCCTGACCCTGGCCGCCGCGGCCCAGGAGGACTGGGGCATCTCGTCCTGCGACGCGATGACGGCCTATCTGCGCTCGGGTAACATTGAGAGGCTACTGCTCCTGCGCATGCCGGCCAAGAACCCGCCGCCGGGGGCCCAGCCTGGCGAGATCGCGATGGCCACGGGCGCGATCTACGGGGCGCGCGACGCTGGGAGGCAGTGGTACCTCTACGCGCAGAAGGTCTTCGCCGATCACGGCCTCGTGGAGAGCAAGCTCGAGACAGCCTCTACTACTTCTACGACGATGGTGGGCTCGCCGCGGTGGTCCACTCACATGTGGGCGACTTCCTTATCGCCCAGCGCAACAACTCCACCAAGCGGAAGACCACTGTCGCATCGCTGGGGAAGAAGCTGCACCTCAAGCCGGTCGAAGGTGTCATCAAGTACTGTGAATGTACGATTACCAGGCTCGACGGCGAGTTTCGCGTGGCCCAGGCCACCGCCGCCGCGCAGGGGGACTACGTCGACTTGAAGGCCCAGAAGGGTCGAGGTGCTGAGGTTCGGCTAACCGCCGCCGATGTGACGAGCTACCGCCACGCGCTCAGGCAGCTGCTGTGGCTAGCGGTGCAGACCCGGGTGGGCATCGCTTGCTCGGTGAGCTTTGCAGCTCGGCCGCGCCGACGTCGCTACCGTGGCCGACGCGAAGACGCTCAACAAGACCGTCGCCTACGTGCACTCCGCCGCGAACTCCGCGATCGTGCTCAAGCGCGCCGCGTGCTTCAGCAACGCCGTTCGCCAACGTGGACGGCGTCAAGAGCCAGTGGGGCAT